CATCGTGGACATATGGACACTAAAAGTCTGTTGACTGCATTTATTTATTTGGAAGCGATAACTGCACCACACAATTATGGCTTGATCTATATCCTGTACCGTTTCGCCTAATCTCTACGGTTGCTTTACCGCAAAAAATGCAGTGCCTATAAATATAGGATTTGCAGTGCTAACACAATTGCAAAACATCACCAAGTTAGGGACTCAGTGATAAGAAGTTCTTTCTGCTATCAGATAACTGTGAAGGTGCCATCGGTTGATAAACATTGCTACGATAAGCCTCAGCAAGCTTGCTTCTCATAACTTGTAGATAACTCAGTCGTCCTGATAGTACATCCGAAGATGTCAGGGTCTTGCGTTCATGGTTGTCATCACTGCGGTTTGAACTTGCTCCGAGTTGGTGTCCCGTGACATTTATCCAATTTAGTAGGTGTTCAGAAACACCGGTACACAACCGCCACACTGTGTTTGCACTCCCCCCTCCCCTCCCTCAGTTTCCCCGTTTGTTAATAAGCGCCGCAGGCTAGTCGTTTTTGCTGAGGGTTTCTTTCAACCTATCCCAATTGTGATCGATTTATATTCGTCTGCGCAAATTTCCCGTGCACTTAAAGCGAATTCACACTGGACCGTATCTGTGTTCCAACTATACTAACCTGTCTTTTTGGTCCACGATCTTCCCTTCAAGTGTTACGGATGTCGAAAACGGTCACGTATTGCTGACTTCCGATTCCATAAGCAGACGCAAATTAGAATGAAGTTCATTAGTGATGCTTATCGCCTCCAGTAGATTGTGTCAGTGTCGTCCACATACGACTAACATAACACCGCTCTTTGAGTAATATTGCGTGCTGTAGTCTGCCGAGATGGAATCGAGTAGACTCCCCATTCCGACACCGTTGGTTTGCCTTATGTGGATCCCTGAACGACAGAACGACTCACCGGTTGTGTAAAACAACCTAAACGTTCGAGTATATGCTTTGGTAGACTCAGTTGAACGTATTCCTCCTTTCACTATGATTGTAACCACGGTCTATCGAGGTTTGCCAAAGCAGTTGCTGGTAGCCACTGACCACAAAAAGCACTTTTCTTTACTTGTCCACGGTGAGATTTGACTCCGTTTTTCATCGGTGTATTTCTGTTGTAAAACACTAGTAAATATTCAGCAAACCGATTGTGAACATAAATTTTGCAGTTTGATATTGCTGACTTGTTTTCAAGTCAATCTTGAGAAAGATTCATCGGAAAAGAGTGTGCGTGAATTCCTCAAGCATTGAAAATATTGAAAATATCTGCTTAGTATTCGTTAATTGATAGTGTGCTATTGTTTTGAACTTGAAATTAATAAGATTTGAACTGAAATATCACAGATCGTCTGAATGCCTCTCGACGGACTCCACCTACTCTATCAACTGTTCAATTTCCTTTTTTTAAACCCTTTGTATGAATGTTTTACACAGGCCAGGGAAGAGGGCCTTCGACGACAAGCTCTTCTTCTCCGACGTCAAGAAGAAAAACGTCAGCGCGAGGAACGTCGTGCTGTAATCCGGGCAGCTGGTGGTACCGTGGACGATTCGGATTCCTCCTCCTCGGCCTCTGTCTCGTCGTCCTCCAAGTCACCGCTTCGCAAACGACGTTCTACTGGACACAGGCGTGATTCACCCTCTTCACCACGTGCTCGAGGAAATGGAAGCCACAGTCACAGAGGATCGCCTTGTTCTCCCCGATCCATGGCCTCAAATCCGCGACGATCTCGGCGTCACAGTCGTTCTCCCGGTATTCGTAGTCCGTATCGCTCGGGTAGACTTCCTTCACCGCCTGCATCGAAACCCCCGCCTCATTCACCTCACGGTCTGTCTCGGGCTGGCAGCGCCCGTGGTGGAGCTGCACATTTCCCCCCGCGTGATTTTTCTCCAAAAATGCACCCAATCGGAGATGGTCCCTGGAACGGTAGGTTCACAATTTCACTTCAAATGAAGTTTTCACTGTTTGTTCGTTACTTCGTTTTGATCCTTCTGACTAACTGTACAAAAACTTGTAATTTCTTCCGGCTGCGTTTTGAAATCGTCTTGGACAATCCTGCAATTTTCGACTATCACGATTACGCACCAATTGCTATAACTTCTTTGATTGTGATGACCGGGGCTTGTGTTACGCATGTAGCAAAATAGGCTTTCTCGATGTCTGCACTGGTCAACGGCAGTTGAAAGTAGGCCGAGGATTGTCAGCCTGGCACCACTACATGAAACTGTGACCAAAGGACTCACTCAGTCATCAAAGTCGCACTAGGCTTCCGTGAATTAACGAATCCGGACAACTCGGGTATCGCATACATTATTGCCCTCTGTGTATCCACCCGCTTTCTACTCGTGTGTTCGCCCCGTGTCATTTG